AACATTGGATTCTATCCCACTGGGTTATGAGGCCCACTGCTCAAAAGCTAGGAGGCGATAAAAATCACAGACAATAGTACTGTTATACAGTACGTGCTCAGGGCATGAGACGTAGTCTGTCAGTCGCTGTATGATATGCTTAAAACAGTAGGAAAAAACAATATTCCCAAAGAAGATTTGCTTCAACTTTTTCAGTTGAATTGCTTTCGATTTCAAGAATCCCCTGAAGTCCAGCCATAGAGTTCGAACCCTTTCACATAAAGTGCCATAGAGTTTGAACCCTTTCATATAAAGTGACAAGTGTCAGGAAAGAAACAGGCATAGGTCACAGGGTGACGACAAGAATACAAATATATACCATGTGAAAAGATAAATTCCACAGAGAATACTTTAAGGGTCTTCGAAGCTTCAAAACTAGAACAGGCTACAACTTTTTGAGAGGCTGAGAAAAAACACTCCACAAAGGAGGTAAAGACAAAGTGAAAAGTGGACACGCCTCAAGAGGATGGTATCTGGCATGGAAAATGAAGAGCACACGTAAATGTCAAAGAGACATGTTATGGATGAGAGAGCCTTGGAGGCGAGGCTGGAAAATGGAGCAGTTCTGTGGGAGGCCACACTGTGGGAGGATCTAGTACTTAATATGGTTGGCGCAAAGAAACCACAGGTCAACTCCCTCATCTGTGTAAGAAATTCTAACTTAACCACTTTTTTAAAACATGAGCTAGCGAGGCACCTGGGTGGCTTAGTCGGTTAAGCGTCTGACTCCTGGTTTCAGCTCAGGTCATGATCTCAAGGTTCATGAGTTTGAGCCTCGCGTCGGGCTCTGCACTGACAGCGCAGAGCCTGCTTGGGGTTTCTCTCTCCTTCTCTCTCTGCCCCTCCTTGGCAAGCTCTCTCTTTCTCAAAAAATAAACAAACATTAAAAGAAGTATTTTAAAACATGAGCTAGCACCCAGCAGTAAAAACAGCCAATTTCCCAAACATTCTCTATATACTATTATCTAAATCATCAATAATGTTAGCTTGAAGAAAATTCTATGGAACTTGACTTTATACATTCTCATCTCGCATACTGACATTAAATGACATAAGTTAATCTTTGAGAACAGTCCTTTAAAATCACATATAAACCTCACTATAATCCTCTCAACACTGTAATACACAAATTCAGCCCTTCAATTTTTTCTAGCTACATTTACTCCTGGGCTGATTTCAAGCAGCATCAAGATTTAAATACCATTTCCATGTAAGGAGCTCCCCAGTTTCCATCTCCAGCTCAGGCTTCCCTCAATTCCCAACATTAACCTCCCTACCTGACATCTCCACTTGCTCCACATCTAAAAGACACCCCAACACAATATATCTAAAAGAGAACTTGTACCCTTTACCTCCAAACATACTCCTCTTCTTTCTACAGCCCTAAGAATGGCTGCTGTGTTCTTCCAGCTGCTCAGACTAAAAACTTTAAAGTAACCTTGCCTACACTCTCTATCTCCTACATCCCGACATCTCATCCAAACCATGATAAAAATCCTGTCAACCCAATCCAACAATACGTTAAAAAAAATTATTCATCACAACCAAGTGGGATTTATATGTGGGATGCAAGGCTGGTTCAATATCCACAGAACAATCAATGTGATTCATCACATCAATAAAAGAAGGGATAAGAACCACATGATCCTCTCAATAGAGGCAGAGAAAGCATTTGACAAAATACAACACCCTTTCTTGATAAAAACCCTCAAGAAAGTAGGGATAGAAGGATCATACCTCAAGATCATAAAAGCCATATATGAAAGACTCAACGCTAATACCATCCTCAATGGGGAAAACCTGAGAGTTTTCCCCTTAAGGTCAGGAACAAGACAGAGATGTCCACTCTTACCACTGTTATTCAACATAGTATTGGAAGTCCTAGCCTCAGCAATCACACAACACAAAGAAATAAAAGGCATCCAAATAGGCCAGGAGGAGGTAAAGTTTTCACTCTTCACAAATGACATGATACCCTATATGGAAAACCCAAAAGATTCTACCAAAAAACTGCAGGAACTGATTCATGAATTCAGCCAAGTTGCAGAATATAAAATCAATGCACAGAAATCAGTTGCATTCCTATATACCAATAGTGAAGCAACAGAAAGAAAAATCAAGGAATTGATCCCATTTACAACTACACCAAAAAACATAAATTACCTAGGAATAAATCTAACCAAAGAGGTGAAAAATCTATACAATGAAAACTATAGAAAACCTGCGAAAGAAATTGAAGAAGACACACACCAAAAAATGGAAAAATATTCCATGCTCCTGAATAGGAAAAAAAAAATATTGGTAAAATGTCAATACTACCCAAAGCAATCTACATGTTCAATGCAATCCCTATCAAAATAACACCATCTGTCTTCACAGAGCTAGAACAAACAATCCTAAAATCTGTACGGAACCACAAAAGGCCCCAAATAGCGAAAGCAATCTTGAAAAAGAAAACCAAAGCTGCAGGCATCAGAATTCCAGACTCTAAGATGTATTACAAAGCTATAATCATCAAGATGGTATGGTACTGGCACAAAAACAGACACATAGATCAATGGAACAGAACAGAGAACCCAGAAATGGACCCACAAATGTATGGCCAACTCATCTTGGACAAAGCAGGAAAGAATATCCAATAGAATAAAGACAGTCTCTTCAGCAAGCGGTGCTGGGAAAACTGGACAGCGACATGCAGAAAAATGGACCTGTACCACTTTCTTACACCATACACAAAAATAAACTCAAAATGGATGAAAGACCTAAATGTAAGACCGGAAGTCATCAAAATCTTAGAGAAGAAAGCAAGCAATAGCCTCTTTGACCTTGGCCGTTGGCCAACTTCTTACTCAACATGTGTCCGGAGGCAAGGGAAAGGAAAGCAAAAATGAACTCTCAGGACCTCGTCAAGATAAAAAGCTTCTGCACAGCGAGAGAAACAATCAGCAAAACTAAAAGACAGCTGACGGAATGAGAGAAGATATTTGCAAACGACATTATCAGATAAAGGGTTAGTATCCAAAATCTATAAAGAACTTAACTCAACACCCAAAAAACAAATAATCCAGTGAAGAAATAGGCAAAAGATATGAATAGACACTTCTCCAATGAAGACATTCAGATGGCCAACTGACACATGAAAAGATGCTCAACATCACTCATCATCAGGGATATACAGATCAAAACCACAATGAGATACCACCTCACACCTGTCAGAATGGCTAATATTTACAATTCAGGCAACAACAGATGTTGGCAAGGATGTGGAAAAGAAGATCTCTTTTGCACTGCTGGTGGGAATGCAAACTGGTGCAGCTATTCTGGAAAACAGTATGGAGGTTCCTCAAAAATTTAAAAACAAAACTACCCTATGACCCAGCAACTGCACTACTAGGAATTTATCCAAGGGACACAGATGTGCTGTTTTGAAGGGGCACCTGCACCACGATGTGTGTTTATTACTGCTGGAGCCTTAACTGGATTCCAGAGTCTGCCCTCATGATCCTTCAGTCCACCCTTAACAAAGAAGTCAGGATGGTCTCATCAAAATATACCTTCCGCTGAAAATCCCTTAATGCCACCTCACCCAGAATAAAAACCCACTCCCTGAACCTGACTTACTTTCTTTCCTTTTTTTTTTTTTTTTACAAATTGTTTATTGTCAAGTTAGTTTCCATATAACACCCAGTGCTCATCCCCACAAGTGCCCTCCTCCATGCCCATCACCCCCCTTCCCCCCCCCCCCCCCCCGCCCTCAGTTTGTTCTCAGCATTCAAGAGTCTCTCATGGTTTGCCTCCCTCCCTCTCCCCAACTATTTTTCCCCTCTCTTCCCCCACGGTCCTCCGTTAAGTTCCTCCTAATCCACCTATATGTGCAAACATATGGTATTTGTCCTTCTCTGCCTGACTTGTTTCACTCAGCATAACACCCTCAAGGTCCATCCATGTTGCTACACATGGCCAGATTTCATTCTTTCTCATTGCCATGTAGTATTCCATCGTATAGATAAAACCACATCTTCTTGATCCATTTGTCCGTCGATGGACACTTAGGCTCTTTGCATGTTTTGGCTATTGTTGAGAGTGCTGCTATGAACATTGGGGTACATGTGCCCCTATGCATCAGCACTCCTGTGTCCCTTGGGTAAATTTCCCTGATCCTGACTTTCAAGCTTCACATGACCTGGCCTCCCACAGTCTCTCAAATCTGAATCTTCCAACCCCTCCCTTCCAATCATTCCACTCAGGCAACACTGGGTTCCTTGCTGTTCCTATCACACATAAGACATGTTCCCAACTTTGGACCCTGACATCTTCTGCTCCTCATGCCCAGAGAGCTCTTCACTCAGATACACAGACCTGCTGTTGCACAGCAAGCCTCAATCACATTTTCAGTAATAGCGTGTGTACCCACAGCCACCCGCACTGGGCACTCAAGATGCCCCCTGGCCTGCCACAGGATGTACCACCTTGCAACACGCTATACAATTTATTATTTTTGTTGTATACATCGCTTCTTGGCCTTCTGGCTAAGATCAAGTGTTGCATTTTTGCTGTGTACTGTCTCTCCCTACCCAAATGAAACCCCATGCAGGCAGCTGTCTCCATCTGTTTTGCTCACGAATAGATGGATAAATGAATCCTGGAACAAAATAATTTGTTTGATATGAAACAGATAATACCAAGTTCAAGTCTCTCATTCTTTAAGTGAAGAATTTAAGGACCAGTGTGATTTGTATGAAGTCAGTAAGTGATACAGTCCAAAATAAAACCGGGTTTCTCTTTTTTCCACTGGGACACCGTGATGGAATATAAGAGAATACACATGAAAATCAATTTTTAAAACAAGCAAACAAGCAAATGCACGTATCAAAACACTGGCACAGATATAGAAAAGATCCTACATTAAAATATTAGCACCACCCAGGAGTAGTAGTATACGAACAAAATTTCTTACTCACCTCCACTCCAGAAATTTTGGAGGGTTTCTGTGTTACAGTGTCTTTGAATTTATTTGCCTTTTCAAGTTGGGCTTTAAGTTGTTCAGCTAATTCCTTCAGAGGGAAAGACAAGAAAAATGAATGTCATATGTAGCTCACTTAATTCCTCAGTGTAGAGTACTTCACATGTACACGCAGAAGGAAAAAGAGCAGAGCGAACACCCATGCAGCAGTGACCCAAATTCACCTAGCAACTGATAGCCTCGTGGACTGCTTTTTAATGAATTCATCTCAGTTACACACGTCTCAAATGCCCATAGCATTTGTTTATGCTTTGACAGTAAGCAATTACAAGGACATATATTCTAGCGGAGAGACAGAGGCATGGGGAAAATACAGAACCTGAAGAAGGAAATTTTTTAATTCCTTGGATACTATAACCATCCAAGACTCAACATTTCAGTTACTGTAACAAGAAAGCCATAATAGGAGTTAACATATTACCTTCTTTATTGTTAAGTAATTTAAATAAGAACTCTGAATATATTTCATTTTTACTCTAGAAGTTTATACAAATGTAGAGAGAACAAGTGACATGTAAAAAAACAAAGAGAAGCATATGAGCAGGCAGAGAACAGTGTTTTCCCGCTGCAGGGGCTCCCTGACCAAAGGGACACTTCTGGTAACATAAATTAACCTCCTAACTTGGTGACCTCTCTTTCACTAGTGTAAACTAATTCCTCTGTGCGCTTTCAACCCTCAGACTTTATTTCCCTGCTATTATTTCCTGGTGGGCTGTCTCTCTTACCAGTTTCGGGGCTGAGCTTTCTGAAGTTCAGTGTACCAAGGACCAGATTCAATGAGAAAGAGCAGCGTGTGCAAGATACGCCTTTTAGTAGACACACGAACTAATAAAAACAGAAGCGTCTTGTTTGGCCACTTTCATCCTACCAAACAGTGACCTACTGACAGTACAACAAAACAGAAGGCTGGGCAAAGACCACTTATATTTGGACTTGAGAGCAGGACACACACATGACGAGGAGGAGATCTATTCAGTCACGCCACGCAAAGCTGTCTGGATTTGTTCTTCTGCCACGTATGATGTCACATGCACGAGTATATCAGAAATGTGACACCAGAATACAGAAGTAACAGACAGATGTAGCTCGCACCAAATCATCCATATTTTCTATTCAGTTCTAAGGCCACTCAGTCTTAAATCATAACGTTATAATGGAAATTAAGTGAGCTCATCTATATAAGGCATCAAACACTTATCAGGCACAGATGTACTGCACTAAAATATGGCTACATGAATTAACCATCTTTTTTTAGGAGTTCATTTGTTATTTTCCTGAGTAAGGGAGTTTAAGAAAGCAATACATGCTCTCAATAATATGGGGCAAAAAAAAGGAAAGAAGACAATGACATCTTTATTTCCCTCAAATATGCTATGCTAGAATTGGAAAAGACAAAGGAAAATTTTTAAACATATTTCATGCCCTGGGATCTTAAACTTCAGACACCTGATAGAAAAAGTAGACAATTTACTGAGAATTGGACAGTACAGGTTTTAGATATGTTCAAGAATTTCATTAAGAATCAATAAGCTGCAGTTTTCAAACTGTGCTACAGCCAACATTGTGAAGAAACTTCCACAATTACTAGTAAGAAGTTAAATAGTTAACCCTATTCTCCTAGGAACACCACAGAAGACATACCATATTTCCCATCATCTCTGCCTTGATAATCCTGGCTCCCAGTTTGTTCTTCTCATCAACACTCAAGATGTGGATGGAATCATCTTCAGGACCGCCTCTGTTTGAACACGACAGATTAAGAGCATATGAAACAGAGGGACATTGTAACTAACAACATCAAGACTCAAATGTAATTTTAATGGACCTCAAAAAATATTTAGTACCAAGAGATGATGATTCTAAAGCCTGAAAAAATAAACAAAAAACAGAGGTTCGATATCCACCGAAAATAAACAATTTAAGGTTCTTTCTTACAATGCCACGATGGCGTATGGCAGTTATCATAACTGACCAAAGTCCCTGTAAGAATGAGGTAAATACTATGTCAACTATTCTTTCCTATCTAATATTTCCATACCCATTCTAAAAAGGAAGAAAGCAAAAGAAAATTAAGACACTACAATCAGGCCATAGTTCTACACAGCTGGGTGTGATACATTATTGGTAATCTAAGAAACAGGAAATGATATCTTTAACTGCATTCAAAGAATAAAAGCAATGAGCCTGTGTTCTTTTTGCAACATAAACCCTAAATTAGTCAGACAAGAAAAATTAGCTTATGCCTAAGTTCATGGGCCAAGCCTAGATTCCCGGAAGACCAGAGAAATTTCCAGTCAAGGTTAGATTCCTGGTACATAAGAAGTTGTCCCAGCTTACTTCCCTAAGAAAGATCATCGTGGTCCAGGGAAGGGATGCAGGCCAGCCTGATGGACTCCTTAGTGAGGGAGACATAGCTAAGATTCTAGAACTCCAAGGCAGCCAGAGAAAAGAAAGCTGCACAGTGAGAGGAGTGCACTAACCTGAAGAGTTCCCCTTGAGTACTTAGCAAGAAACCACCCATAGTCAGAGAGAGCACCAACCCAAAGAGAAGAGGAGCAATCTCCAGCACCTCTGAGAACAGTGCCTGATCTCCCTACCCAGACAAGAAGAGCACCTAACTCAGAAAGCACTGGGAAGAGCATTAGAGGTCTTGCTCCATCACTGGGGAATAATAAGCTCTAAACTAAATGCTAATCTAAGCCCACTGAACCAATGCTAAAAGCAAAAATCTAAAGGAGCAAACAGTTTCCAATCAACTTAATCATATTCCCCCAGGGCAAAGCTCAAGAATATTTACAGGAATGCAAAAATACCCCACACTCAACAAGGTAAAATTCATAGCATCTACTATCCAATCAAAGATTACCAGACGTGCAAAGACACAGAAAAATAAGACCTACAATTAGGAGAAATAGCTGTCAATCAAAATTAACCCAGAACTGACTCAGATGTAAGACACAGCAGATAAGGACATTAAAAGTTATTACTGTAACTGCATTCCACACGCTTGAAAAGTTAAAAACAAGTAAGACATAAAATAGATCAGAACTGAACGTCTACAGTTGAACATTACAGTGTCTCAGATTACAAAAAAAAAAAAGACACTAGATGGGATTCACAGAAGATTAAACTGCCAAGGAAAAATTAGTGAAACTAAAATATTAGAAACTAGGGGTTCCTGGGTGCCTCAGTCAGGTTGGGTGACTTTTGATCTTAGCTCAGGTCATGATCTCATGGTTACGGAGTTCGGGACCCATGTTGGGCTCTGAGCCAACAGCACGGAGCCTGCTTGGTATTCTGTCTCTCTCAAAAATAAATAAATAAACATTAAAAAAAATTAAAAGCTATGCCAAATGAAACATACAGAAAAAAAGAATTTAAAAAAACAAAAAGGGCATCAGAGAACCATGCCATCATCTTAAATACCCTACTAATCATGTCATTGGAGTCCCTGAAAGAAATGGGAGACAGAAGAAAACAAAGGCCAAATTTTGCAAACTTGCTGAAAACTAAAAAACTTACAAAACCAAAAATTTTAGGGTATTTCAAGCACAAAAAAAAGTACATTAAAGAAAAACTTACAGCCAGGCACATCATAATCAAATTGCTCAAAACTAGTAATAAAGAGAACATTGTTAAAGCAGCCACAGGGGGGTAAAAGAGAGACACACTTAGGCACACAGAAACGAAGGTAAGTGTGACAGCAGATTTCTCATCAGACACAATGCAAGCAAGAAAAGAGCAGCTAACATCTCCAAAGCACTTTAAATTATCAACCAAGAATTCTATACCAAGTGAAGGTATCTTTCAAAAACAAACTAAAAAGAAAACTTTCAGACAGAGCTGAAAGGATGTTAAAGAAAAGCCTTCAGGCAGAAGAAAAATTATACCAGACTCAGGTATGGATCAACCCAAAGGAAGGAAGAGCAAGAGAAATGATGACTACAAGGGTGAATATAGAATACTTTCTCTCATTACAAAAATCTCTCTAACATAATTGTTTAAACAAAAATAGTAACAATATATGAGAGGTTTATGACAAGGATAAGTAAAATGTATGACAACACTAACAGAAAAAACTCGAGGGGATAAATGTAAATAAGCTACTGTAACATTCTTATATCATACACAAGTGGGGTGATATCACCTGAAGTTGGAGAAGTTAAAGATGTATACTATCAAATCTAGAAAAAACAACAAACACAAAATACCAAAAAAATCATAACAAGAGAAATGAAAAAGAATCATAAAACTATGCCATCTAAAATAAGTCATATAAAGGGGCGCTAGAGTGGCTCAGTCAGGTAAGCTGCTGACTGTGGCTCAGGTCATGATCTCATGGTGTGTAAGGTTGAGCCCCATGTTGGGCTCTGTGGGAGCCTGACTCTGCTTCAGATTCTGTCTCCCTCTCTCTGCCCCTCCTCCGCTCACGCTCTGTCCGTCTCTCTCAAAAATAAGTAAACATTAAAAAGTCTTTTTAATTAAAACAAGTTATATAAAGAGGAAAAAGGGAACAAAGAACACACAGGACAAGTAGAAAACAAAGAGCAAAATTATAGATTTAAACCTTATTATATCACATTATACATAAATGGTCTCAACATGTGAGGTAAAATTGTCACGCAAAAGAGCACAACTCAATGACAAGAAACATACCATAAAAACAAATCTGTCAAACATAATGAAGGGAAAAGATATATCTTGTTTTACACTCGTCAAAAGAATGGTGAAGTGGCTTCTTTAATATCAAACAAATTAGATTACAGAGCAATAAATATTATCAGGGACAAAGAAAGCTTTTTCATTTCATATGAAAAAGAGGTCACTCCCATCAAGAGTACAAAAGAATCCCTAATGTAAGAGAGCTTCAAAATACACAAAGCAGGGGCGCCTGGGGGGCTCAGTCCATTGGGGGTCCGACTTTCGCTCAGGTCATGATCTCGCGGTTCGTGGGTTCGAGCCCCGCGTCGGGCTCTGTGCTGACTGCCAGCTCAGAGCCTGAAGCCTGTTTCAGTCTGTGACTCCCTCTCTCTCTGACCCTCCCCTGCTCACGCTGTCTCTCTCTCTCTCAGAAATAAATTTTTAAAAAAAATTTTTTAAAAATAAACAAAGCGAAAACTGACAGAATTACAAGGAGAAAGAGACTAATTTGCAATTACAGTCGCAGATTTTAAGACCCCACTCCTGATACTTAATAGAATAAATTCTTCAAGAATATGGAAGACTTGACTAACAGCATCAACCACCACGACCTAATGGACAGAGAATACTCTACCCAGTAAGAGAATACATATTCCTGTACGTGCCAACATTTACCAAGATAGACCATATTCTGAGCCATACAGCAAGTCTCAATAAATATAAAGGTATTTAAGGGGCGCCTGGGTGGCTTAGTCGGTTAAGCGTCCGACTTTCGCTTAGGTCATGATCTCGCGGTTCGTGGGTTCGGGCCCCGCGTCGGGCTCTGTGCTGACTGCCAGCTCAGAGCCTGGAGCCTGTTTCTGACTGTTTCAGTCTGTGACTCCCTCTCTCTCTGACCCTCCCCTGCTCACGCTGTCTCTCTCTCTCTCTTTCCTAGAAAAAAAAATTTTTTTAAATAAATAAATAAATATAAAGGTATTTAAGTCATACAAACTGTGTTCTCTAACCCCAATGAAATTAAATTGGGAATCATTTAAAAAGATCTCTGGGAAATCCTCAACTATTTGGAAACTGAATAGCATATCTGGGAATAACCCATGGTTAAGAACAAAATCAAAGAGAAATTTAAAAGTATTTCAAACCAAATAAAAATACAAACGTAACAGGGCACCTGGGTGGCTCAATCAGTTAAACGTCTGACTTCACCTCAGGTCATGATCTCAGTGTTTGTGAGTTTGAGGCCCACATCAGGCTCTGTGCTGATAGCTAAGAACCTGGAACCTGCTTTGGATTCTGTGTGTGTCTCTCTCTCTCTGCCGCTCCTCCACTCACGCTGTCTCTTTCTCTCTCAAAAATAAGCATTAACATTTTTTAAAAATACATATATAAACATAACAAATAAGAATTTATAGGATGCTAATAAAGTATTACTTAGGGAGAAGTTATAGTTCTAAATGCTTATATTAGAAAAGAAGAAAGATCTCGAGTCTATGTAAAATGCTACAACCACTCGGTAAACCATTTGGCAGTTTCTTAAAGTTTAAAGATATAATTAATCTAGCCATTCCTCTCCTAGGTATTTACCCAAGAGAAAAGGAAGCATACATCCACACAAAGTTCTGTACATGAATATCCCAAGAAGCATTATGTACAATAGCTAAAAACTGGAAACATTCTAAATGTCTACCAACAGGTGAATGGAAAAAAAAAGTAGTATATCTACCAATGGCAAACTACCCACTCATCAATAAAAAGGAATGAATTATTGTAACAACACGGATAAAGCTCAAAATAATTATGCACAGTGAAAGCCAGGCAAAAAAAAGAGTGCATAACATATGATCCCATTTACATAAAACTCCAGAAAATGCAAACTAGTCTATAATTAAAGAAAGCAGATGAGGGAAATCTAGGGGATTTGTAAGGGTGTGGAGAGAGGTGGGAGAGAATTATAAAAGGGTAGCAGGAAACTCTGGGGGATGATGGTTTTTGTTAGAACATACATACTTCTAAACTGACCAGACTGTACATTTCCATGTGCAGTTTATTACGTGTCAATGATACTTCAATAGTTGTTTTTCAAAACCCTCAAAGAGG